CAACGGGACGAAGGCATGCATCCTCAAGACTGACGACAGGTCATCTCTTAAGCGATCAAAGTACCCATCCTTTCCGCCAGCGAACTTCTCCTACAAACACATAAAGTGGTCCATTTTCTTCTAAATCTGACTGAATGTGATGAGTTATTTTGTAACCTTGCAGATGTCTTGATCGTAACAATAAGCGCGAGCTGGTAGCTGCTCTCCTATCGATTTTTCATCGTTACGTTGAAAATGTTCTGCAAAAAGAAAACTTCTGCTAACTACTTCCAAACAAAAGCTCTTGCCTCTTAAAGCTCAAGTTTTCAGATGGTTCAGACCTTGAATTGCTTGTCTTCATAGTCAACGAGAGAGACAAGGCTGTCACGCATTATTTCTTCAACGCTCGGTCTGAGCTCAGCTTTGAACCTCAACATATTGCAGATAAGGATTCGTATGTGCCTCGCCTAAATCCAAAAATAACATTCAAAACTTGCATGCAACAGTTGGAACTAAATTACCTGAGCCATACTGAATCCATCTTCAAAATCAGCAGGAAATGTACAGTAATTTTCCACTTTGTTGATGATGGCGTGACGTTCCATTCCTGTGGCGATTTGATGATAACACATTTCGAAAAATACCACTCCAGTTCTATCGTATAACATCTGCCTACCTGCACATATCAATCTTAGATGGTAAGGTTCAGAATTGTTCACATCGAATAATTCAGGTGCCATGTACAACTCAGTGCCAATATCCTTTGTCAATGCTAAACAAATATAGTTGTTTTATAGATATTGCATAGAAAATCCAAAAACGACATGAACCTTGTTCCACTTTCGGAAGTGGACGCACAAGCTGAGGTTTGGGACCTCAACCTTTAGTGGCAAAACCAAATCTCCAATTTTAATATGTCCCTCGACGTCTAGCAAAATATTTGTCTGCAACTATTTTCAGGTGAAATTTTGAAAAAACTGTTATTTTGTGACAAACCGGCTTAACATCGCGATGAATCATGCCCTGACGATGAATGTAGCCTAGTGCATTGAGAATTTCAGCGAAAAGATTGGTATGACAGTCATCTATGTATTTCCTCAATGTCTCTCCTCCGCAATATTCCATATGAATAAATAGGATTCGTTCAAGACCAACTGAGCTTTAAACATACGGTGAATTGAAGCAAAATTGACAGCTGCTCATACTACATAAATCTAAACAACAAACCGTGGGACTAATAAGGTGAGAGAGTTCCATAGCATTTGCTGGCCTGCTTTCAGGACTGAGGGAAGAACTTGGCTCCACACCTTCACTTTGAGAAGAAGTTGGCGTTTTTGAAGCAGACGAAAATCCTCATCGAACAAAATGTCCTAGAATTCCCGAGAGTCTAGAAGATTGCCTATAACAATGACCGCATTTGCACGAAATTTGCATACAGTTTCCCCTTTCCCTTTCTTACTCCCTCCAATTACAGCAATCAGACGGGGTGGTAAATTCTCGGATTCCGATGAGGTCGAGTAACTAGGACTTTCCTTACGCAACGTCGCAACATTCTCAATCCTAGCACTAAACAGTCGATTGCGCTGTTCAACTAAAGATTCCATCTTGCTCCAACGTTGAACAATCTGGAG